TCTTTCTCGTCTAGTCTTGGAAACCTACTAGACTAGTGTGTGGGCAATTTCTAGAATAAACATTAATGATCACTCATACTAATCTCAACACATGAGTAAAGAAGGACTTGAGCTGAGAGAAATTTCTTCTCTTTTTCTCTCTGGTTTTACACACCGATTACTATGCAAAATTAAGCAAAAAAAAAATTGTGTTATCTATTTTTCTCATATCACCTATTTATAGAGATGTAATTGAAATCTCAGTAGAATTCTGATGTTATCTTCAAAAGATAAGACTTACAAAATTGCTGTTGATCTTAATTTCAAATCACATTTAAAATCAAGCGACACCATTTTTTGATGAATATTCTATTTTTTATGATTTTCCCTATTTTTTGTCTTTGAAAAATACAATAAAATAAAACGAAGTCAAAAAGTTCTAAAATTTTACAGACACGATCTTTACATTATTCTAAGCATGCCTGCAAAAAATGGAATCGAATTATGAAAAATGAAAACGCTGCCAAAAGCCCCCACGTCGCGCACTCGAGCGCCAAGTGGCCGGGATGAGTTAAAAATTCACATTTTTATTTATCTTTTACGTTTTAAAATTAATAAATGATTTTTAAGAATTAATACAACAAATGAGACCATTTTTTTGATGAAAATTCTATTTTTTATGATTTTTTATATTTTTTGCCTTTGAAAAATAAAATAAAATAAAAACGACGTCAAAACATTCTAAAATTTTATGCAAAAAGAGAAAAAATGACAAAAAAAACATTCAGAAACAAAACGACATGTCGTTTTGACAAAAAGAGGAAAAAATTTTACAAACAAAATGACATGTCGTTTTTATTGATGCATCAAAACGCCATGTCGTTTTGTCAAGAACGCCAAAAATCTACAAACAAAATGATATGTCATTTTTATGATCTTTTAAAACGATGTCATTTCGTAAAAAAAAAACTTTCAGCAACAAAATGACATGTCATTTTTTATTGATTACACAAAACAATGTCGTTTTGACAAAAACAGCAAAAAACTTTAAAAAACAGAATGACATGTCATTTTTTCATAAAACCACGAAAAAGTGTCACCTACAAAACGACATCTCGTGTTGAAAAAAACGAAAACAAAACACCTACAAAACAAAATTTTGTCTTGAAAATAAATTTCACAAAAAAATGACATGTCGTTTTATTTATGCGTCAATACGACGTCGTTTTAAAAAAGACAAACTTTCAGCATCAAAATGACATTTTATTTTTCTGATGCCACAAAATGACGTCGTTTTGACAAAGACAAAAAAATGCTTTCAAGAGCGAAACGATATGTCATTTTTCTGCTGATGAGAAAAACGATAAAAAATTCAGTTTTTAATGATTTTCTCTATTTTTCGTCTTTGAAAAATAAAATAAAATAAAAATAATGTCAAAACATTCTAAAATTTTACAGATAATATCCTTACATTTTTCTGAGCGTACCTACAAAAAATGGCCTCAAATTATGAAAAAAGAAAACGTTGCCAAAAAGCCCCTCGCTCGCGCATTGGGCCGCCGAAGGGCCAGGATGGGTGAAAAATAGATATTTTATTTATGTTTTATATTCTAAAATTAATACACAAGTTTTAGGAATTAATGCAATAAGCGGCGCCATTTTTTGATGAATATTTTATTTTTTATGATTTTCAATATTTTTTGTCTTTAAAAAATAAACTAAAATAAAAACGATGTCAAAAAGTTTTGAAATTTTGTAGACACGATCCTTACATTATTCTGAGCATACCTGCAAAAAATGGAATCGAATTATAAAACATAAATAAAAGTATCAATTTTTGATCCATCCTGGCTCCTCGACGACCTAATGCGCGAGCGAGGGACTTTTTGGCAGCGTTTTCTTTTTTCATAATTTGAGGCTATGTTTTGTAGGCATGCTCATAAAAATGTAAGGATCTTGACTACAAAATTTTAGAATGTTTTGACATCATTTTTATTATATTTTATTTTTCAAAGATGAAATATAGAGAAAATCATAAAAAATAGATTTTTTTGTCGTTTTGTCAAAACGACTTCGTTTTTCTTATCAGCAGAAAAATGACATATCATTTCGCTCTTGATATCTTACAATGGTGGAAGAGCAAGACTGATCATTTTTCAACACTGTCCGTAATAACTCGTGATATTCTGACAACTCAAGCGTCCATGGTAGCATAGCAAGCATTTAGTGCAAGCAATTGAATTCTTGATGAGAAGAGAAGCATAATGCATCCATATATCTTGGAGGGGCTAATGTGTGTTAAAGACTGGGATGATGCCAAAAGATGAAAACAATAATATACGGATGAGTCAATGCAAGACTATTTTTCTAATTTAGAAATAACACAATCTTCTGGAAGCACTAAGGTTTTGTAATTTACTTATCCTAGAATACTGCACTTTTTTTTCCTTCACTAAGGTTATGTCCCGGTCTCCTCACGGGTTTTACATGGCAAGGTTTTTAACGAGACAGTCATTTATGTGTACTCATCTCAATTCAATAAAATCACATCTTTTGATGACATATGATATATTTTCTTTTTTAATTAAATTTTGCAAAAAAAATTACAAGGGCTAGGGCCAGCCTGTGAAAGGCCTGGGCCTAGGCCCAGCCCTGGCCCTTATGGACTAGGGTCACGGGTCAGTTCTGAACCTGAGAGTTTCTCTTCAGGCCCGGCCCTGACATGACGTCTTGGCACGACCCTGCACGGTGTAAGGCTAAGCCAGAAACGGCCCAAGCCCGCCACGGGCCTGGGGTCGGACGTGCCGTGCCGGGCCTGAGGAGAAACTTCAGCCCGCGTAGTAGGTTATGGGATCCTCGGGACCCCCCGGACCCCCGGGACCCATGGGACACCCCCGGGACCCTCGGGACCCCCGGGACACCCCAAGGATCCCTGTGACACCCCCGGGACCCCCGGGACCCCTAAGACACCCCCGGGATCCCCGGGACCACCGGGACACCCCCGGGACGTTTGGGACCCCCGGGACACCCCTGGGACCCCCGGAACACTACCGGGACACCCGGGACCCCGGGGACACCCTCGCGACCCACGGGACCCCTGGGATAGCCCCGGGACCGCCGGGACCCCCCGGATCCCCGGGACACCCCTGGGACCCTCGGGACACCCCCGGGACACCCCTGGGACCCCCGGGACATCCCCGGGACTGCCAGGACCCCCGGGACACCCCCAGGACCCCCGGGAGCCCTAGGACACCCCCGGGACCCTTGGTACCCCTAGGACACTCCCGGGACCCGCGGGACACCGCCGGGACCCCCAGGGCACCCACGGGACCGTCGGGACACCCCCAGGACCCCTGAGACACTCCCGGTACCCCTGGGTCCCACGGGACACCCCCGGGATGCCCGGGACCCCCTAGACACCCCTAGGACCCCCGGGACCCCCGGGACATCCCCGGGGGCCCCAGGACACCCCCGGGACCCCCGGCACACCCCTAGGACGCCCGGGATCCCCGGACACCCCCGGGACCCCCGGGACACCCCCTTTGGTGATTTTCCCTTTAAAAAATAACCCATCAAAAAAGCACCGAGAAGGAGGGAGAAGAACTAGAGACTGTCAGTTGCATGCATGTTAGAGGGGGATGAGGAGTGCTAGGTTGAGAGTGAGACCTCGAACAACGTGAGTAGTTTTGCTTCTCTGTTGCATGTTTAAATACCTTGTTTTTGATTGTTGGATGTGATCAAAATCATATCGACCTTAAGAAGCATACAGAACTGACAGTTTCTAATGCAGATATGATAGTTGAAAGTAAGAAATTATCGGTGATTTATTTTCTAATTCTATTAGAGAATCTTAGATTTTTTAATGCCAACACTTAATTTTTAAGGTTTTGTGTTTTTATGTTTTAAAAAAATATTATTAACCTGAAATATTTTTGCTCACAATTTAAGCCGACATTTTGTTGTCCTCTAATACCCAACTTAAAAGTTAAAACTATATTGTGTGTGATTTTTTTTTTCTCGTGAAACTTTAAGTTAAAAACAAATTACCTTTTTAAAGCCGATCAGGAAATTACATGTAGTAAAAGTTTAAATACAGACAATTGAGAGAGAATTCCAGAGAGAGAGAGAGCAGGGAAGAAGGAAAATAGTCCTGCCGGCAACTGGAAGCATGTCTCCGGTCAGCCGGCCTCCAAAATGTGCCCATACGCTGTATGTCGGCCGATATATACGATGGTGGAGTCCGTGTTGGTGTTTTCTCCTATTTTTTTAGTTATTCGTGGAATAAAGGCAGTCATTCTGAAGGTGTTGGTTTTTTTTGCCCCCACAAATTGCTAGATTTGCATGGGCTTTGGTTGTTTTTATTGTTTTTAGTTGTGTTCCCCCCCCCCCCAAGCTATGACCTTGTGTGGGTTTTGTATTGTTTTCTATCTTCTAGTCAGATCTCCCGATTTGACGAGCTTGATCTAAAATAATACTGGCTTTTAGATATCGGTCTTTGCAGATTGTTTACTATAGCTCTTTCGGGAGAGTCAACCATGGAGGTAGGATTAAACGAGCCAATAGAAGTGCTCCAAATTGTGTCCATTATCGGACCTTGGATCCCTATACTAGAACGCCAACGGATCTATCGATTTTGATTTGTTATATCAAGTTTTTTATATTGAGTTCTCTGTAAACTTCATGGTTTGTTGATTAATGAAATGTTTTTGCATTAAAAAAAAAAAATTACCTTTCAGTATTAAACGACAACAAACTTCAAACAAAACATAAATAAAATTAATTAAAAAACTCTCCTTGAATTATACCGCTTATAACAATTTGTCCCCTAATTTTTGAAAAATAACACTCGTTCCCTCTGAACATTGAAATATTAATAACGAAATTGACATTTAATTTGTTATTAACATTTCATTATTCAAAGCGAACAGATGTTACATTTTCAAGATGAAGGGCAAAATGTTACGACAATAAATATGAAAGAGCATGTCGTTTTTCGATGGGCCACTCTTTTTTTTCCTCCCTAATAAATAATTATGAAAGAGTATTGCACTATGAAGTAAACTATATATAGTAATTTGACATAGAAGCTACAAAATGGTGAGTATTCTTGTAAACAACTAAATAACACAAGACAATACATTTTCATGATGCACACAACTAACAAGGACTAACACATAAATTCTTCAATTTTTATAGGTGGCCGCAGTCATACCGAGTGTGACGAATTGGATCTTGAAAGAGGACAATAATCAACGCAAGAAGCAAGATCTTCCCTATCATTGATGCAGAGCTAAAAAGCAAACCAGTCACATAAGACTGAGCAGACAATCTTACCAACCTCATTCTCCTTTCCTTAACATACAAATCCATTGCTTCCTCCATTTTCTTCCTAAATAGTCCATTATTTCCTTCAAAACCATTAATACTTTCACCATGGATCTTATTTGCCAAACATCTCGCGAGTACTACTGCGTCTTCCATGGCTGCGGAGCCGCCTTGTCCTAGAAATGGCCCCATCACATGCATTGAGTCACCGGCCAGCGTCACCATCCCTTTTCGGAAAGTTCCCAGCAGTATGTCCCAAGCTGGCCGATACCACAAGTGTGTGAGGGATAGTGAAGTTATGTCACAGTCTTTGATCATTTCTATCGTTTCCTTTGGGAAAGCATCGTTGGTTTTCTCTAGAGCCATTTGCTTGATCAGCTCTGGATCTTTAAAAATCTCTGAATCTGTCAAAATAAGTTATGAAATACAAACAATCAACTTTAACTGTTGCACAATGTAATAATATTGCAGCAAATAGCAAAGCTGCAAGGCAGAGTAAGCGTAATTTATTACACAAAAGTGTTAAATTATGTATTAACTAGGTAGAATGGTATTTATTTTGTCTAATCGTTGGCTAGTAATTAGTATTTTGATTAAATAAAGTGTCGTGAGTATTTGAAAACCACCATCATGGAAAGGTTGGAAAAAGATAACATTATTGATTGTAATTGGTAAATTTCAAAAGACATTATTGCCTTTCATTATTTAGTTCACATGCCAAGTAGTAATTTGTTGGGCCTACTATGTCGACAAAAGCGATATGGCAGAACATTTATAATCAACGGCATTACAAAAAAAAAAAGTTTAAACGGAATATTTATAATTAATTTTAGCTAGAACATCTAATATAAGAATGAACTGTAAATAGTGTAAGTTTTAAGTTGTTGGATGCTCAGATTAATTTTTAGTATGAAGGTTAAAGAATTTCCACCTTCGTGGTTAGGCATAGCTTGTCGGCATATCCACATTTATGTAAAGTCTATAGTTCAAATCCGAACGACAATTAAAAAAAAAAAAAGAAGAAAAATAGAATTTCCACCACCAATGTTTGCACAATTTAGGATTACTAGTAAGGACTACTACAACTAACTATAAAATTACACTATTCTACATCCAATGTGCTTTTCTATACTTTCTATCACATAACTTAGTTGCATCCTTTAATGTGCAACATGTTCTTAGGACGCAAAATGGACTCCGGATTGAGTAATTGTATGCTACTAGAATTTGATATTATCGAATTATACTAAATAAATGTATTTTTAAGCCACGTACCTTTGAGGTAACCTGGTAAAAGTAGGAACCAAAAAACAAGGTTTTGATTGATGGTAGATCTTCCACATACAACGTTATTCCCATGAGTTCTGACAAACTCAGGGTCAAACCCATGAGGGCTTGGATAATAGGTTAGCCCTCTTATGCCAAACGCAGGGAAGGACTTCTTGGGTTTCACCTTGAGATATTCTGCTACTACTGAGCTCGCCCCATCACATCCAATCAAAATCTGTTTCGGAACAAATATTCAACTAATCAAATCAATACTCATTATCGTACGTGAAATAGAGGAATAATGTTATTCATTATCATTAGCAACCTTATTGCTACAGATTAAAACTCTAATCCTTCACTAGAGAGATAGCAATAAAAATAAGAGAAACAATCAAGCGCACACACGTATGATTTATAATGACGTATGTTTTCAGCTGCTCTAAAAATTTACTATGATAGAGAAAAAGATTACAAGAGATTTACATATCTCACACTTTTTAATCACTTTTATTCCTCTCTAACCTAATCCTCAACGTTTAAAATTAAAGCAACCAAAAAATACATATGTATGATTACGAAATACACCTACAAAAACTTTGGTCCGTGGTTATGCTGCCACAAATCCTGGAAAGAGGACTTACTATCCCCCTTCCAACCCATGTCGACCTTACCGAAATGGTCGATCTGTGTGCTAACTCTCCGTCATAGCCATAATTAAGTTCCGCAAATCCGAACAATTATAACAGCATAAATGTTACAATGTATATGCAATTCTATCCTAAATTATAGGACCACATAATTTCAGAGTCACCACTGCGAACGTATTGATATCTGGCTAGCAATAATAAGAAGTAACATATGCGAATAAACGAGTGTTAAATAGCAATACTTACTTTGGCCTTTATTGCACGCCCATCACGAAGTTGAAGAATCGGAAAATTGGTCAGAGGGTCCAATTCCACAAAGAGAATGTGGCATCCAAAACGTATGGTGCCGTGGGGCAAATCCTGAGCAAGCATGTTTATTAGATCACTCCTTTTCACACAGCGGGCTTCTCCTTTCCTGCCCAATTAAGCTTAAAACTTTTAGAAGAACGGTAAATGGATTAATCCATTTAGGCATACACCCACACACACACATATTACTCGTTCATTTTTATGTATATATTTATATATAATGTTATTAAAATTAGTGAGTTCAGATAATTAGAGGCTTAGTCTGGTGATAAATTTACAGACTTATAACGTCTGTTTAGAGGTTGAACCCTCACTCCATGTAAAAACACTTTTTTTATTTTATTTTTATTTTTTTTAATATCATTGATCTCACATTCACGATATTTTAAGACTTTGTTCATTTCATTATTTGAGTTTTTAATTTTAAATTTTTATAGTTAAAAGCTCTAAAAAATATCACATATATTTTTTTTACTATAATTAAAAGTTTTTAGAAAATGTCAGTCACATATGAGTTTTGAGTTTAAATTGAAAATTTGAATCCGCAAAATAAATGAGACATTAAGATCATGAAACTCTGAAAAAAAAAGAAGAAAATATGTGCAAGTTTATTGTATATATGTTAATTAATTAACTTACGAGAGAGGTCCTCGTCGTTGCTTGTTGCCATCGAGCCATATGTCTCGTACTCTGTTTTCCAAGGTTGAGATAGATATAAACAAGTATAACGTTAGTTAATCAAAGATACAAGTAATATTAGTTTATGATTTGCGCAATAATCACTTATTTTGCTCAGTTCAAGATTGAGTGTACCCTTGAAGAGGAAGCGCTGTTTGTCTAAGTTTGGGGCCGATACCAAGTTGATCAAGTGCACGCCAACCGTTTGTCAAAATGGCAATGGCACTCCCAAAAGCTCTCAGCGTCTCTGATCTTTCCAAAACCACGCTTTTTATGCCCTTCCTACGTACATATTACATGTAAAACGACGACAATTACAACAACAACGTGATCAAGACTTCTTCATTAAAAGGAACAAAGACTATCGAGTTTGCTTATGGCGGGGGAACCTAAGACGACGAATGTTAGTTGTGTTTCTTTTGCCATCACTGAAGCCACATATCCTGCAGTGATGAATTTGTTTTCTGTGGGAAAGAGAAAAGTACCTGTGAAGTGCGAGGGCAGTGGCGAGGCCACAAATGCCGGCGCCGACAATCACGATATCTATCTCTTCGGCGGCCTCCATTTCTACTTGTGGGAGGTGTTTGATGATTTTGGTGGATTTAGGTACTCTTCTTTTTCTACTTCTCTATGCAACTGGATGATGGCATTTATAAAAGCATGGACAAACAGCTGGATTGACAGGATAAGAGCACAAACAAATTAATGCAATTATGTAATGGTTTGAATTCCTTGTTGTGTTTCCTTGTTTTTGTTTTGGTCAAACTCTCTCATATAATTAATTTGTGGGTCATTTGTCAAGTATAAAGACAACTTGATTTTTGAGTCCCTGCAAATTAAAAATTGGGACTCCACAATATTAACACACACACACACACACACACATATATATTGTTAGGAAATTGTATTTTCTAATAATAATTATGGCCACGTATTTATAATAATTATATTAAGTTATTTAATTAATTAAGTTAATTAAGTGATTTAATTAAGAAAAGTTTGATATAGTCTTCTAATTGGGTTTGGGCTAAATGGGTGGATACCCAATATTGACTCAATTAGGTTTAATGAGAGCATAATGGGGCAATATATAAAGAAACTTAGATTATGGTTTCTAATATGTCAAATCATAAGGCAGTTTTCATTCTTCCCCATCTAGAGAGAAAACACCCATTAAGGAACTAAAGAGATTTGACTGAGGAAGGCAATAACCGTCGTGCTCGTGGTCTTAGAGAATTCTACTGGAGATCTAAAGGCTGCATCAATGGAAACATGTCAGAGTTCTAACTTATTTTCTTAGTAATTTAGTGTGATGATTCCTGGAATGTGGAACTAGGATTGAAAGATTCAACAAGTGGTATCAGAACGGTCATCACATTAAATTATTGAGAGAATTTTTATCTCTAATATCTCTGGCTGAATAATATGTTGATTGATTCATATGATTTTTTCTTTATTTACGGAATTTTCAGATATGCTTTATTTTGTTAAGAAAAGCATGTATATAGATAATCATATGAATTCTTGGTGATTGATTTTAATCAAATTTGTTGAATAAATTTGGATTAATTATTATTCACAAAATTGATTTCTGGAAAATTAGAGTTTAAGGAAATTTGGTAAAGGAATTAATTAAAGAATTGTTTTGTTTTTTTTTTTCTCTCGGGTTTTTCTGAAAAAATTAGTTTTCCTTCTTTCTTCTTCTCTTCTTCGGTGGAAGATTGTGGCCGGTGGCAGCCTTGGCCGGCGGCGCTGAGGAAACAAGGGCGCGGCCGTTAATGGGGTAATATATAAGAATAAAAGGCCTACCTGTCGAGAGAGGGGACCGGAGGAGGCAAGCTCTTCATGGACGAGATCGCCGGTGGCTGAGAACTGAGAACCTCCGAAAGGTGAATCTGAGAACTGAGAAGAAAGATAACGGAGAAGAAAGAGAGACCGGCTTTGAGTGAGAACTAGGAAATGAGAATAAAGAGAATGGAGAAGAAAGAGAGAGCGGCGCAGTGTGAGTCTGTAAGAAACTGAAGTCTGAAAATAATGTCAGGCCTTGAGGGAGATGTGAGAGAAGGAAAGGAAATTAGGGATTATTTACCCTACTTGATTCGACTGGGGTAGCCTTCTTCGGGTTCAAGCAAATCCGGTCCGCCACCCGACCCGCACAATGAAGGTTTGGCATATGTACAACCGAAAAATATATAAAAAAAATTCAACACTATATTCGGGTAGGGTTAGGTCAGCTCGGGTGCGTTCGTCGGGTTCGGACTCATTTCTTAACCCTCTAATTGAAATACCCATCATTCCAATGGATGCTCATAAGCGGCCACTAGTATTCTTTACAAATTTAATTGTGGATTTGATCCTATACAGGAACTAACTAATTTTGTCCCTCTAAAGTACTCTTATGCAGTTTAAGATCAATTCTAACCATACTAGCCATTTTATATTTTTAGTCAAAATAATTTACGATTTAGCTTTAAAAAAAAAAAAAAAACTTTTCTCTACTCCAATCAATTAGCTAAATGGTTAACTATTTTAGAAAATGCATTTCACACTAGCTAAATATAGCTAGCATGGAGAGGCTAGCCATTTCATTTTTTTATATTATTTTATTTTTTTAAATGTAATAAATGTAAAGATTCTTTTGTAAATTCAATAAAATTATTTATATTTTAAATTTAATAAATATTAAAATAATTTATATTTAGTTGAAATAGAGAGTATGGTTTGATTCACCAAAAAAAATTACTAATTAAAATAACATTTTTAGCTATTTTAGCTAGAATTTAACTAAAATATTTCAGAGAGTTCCTTTCTTGATGCTTTAAGAATAGATCATGAGCACCCTATGTATCTATTCTTAATGTGGGTGGGGATTAGAGGAGTTTCAGTTAGACTAGGAGGCTAAAGAGTAATTTTTCTCTCTTCTCAATTAGATGTTGGTGCCAATCACAATGCCAAACATAGTAAAAAATGGCCACCACTCAGAAGCGTTCCTAATGGAGTTATGTAATTTCAAATCAATTCAAATCCTATTTTATTTAAATAAAACCATTTCAAAAGATATCTAATTGAAATATTTGAGATTAAATTATCCAAAAATTAAATCCTATTAGTATTATTATTAATTATTTAAAAATAATATTAGAGACACCAACTCAAATCTCAATTTTTATATACCAACTGATGTGACATGTGAGTTGTCACTTTTTCTAAATCTTAATTTAAATTGAATTCCTATAACTACCACAAATAGGATAATTATAGCTATTTATATTTAGTTTGTTATTTTCTTCTTCTTGAAGAAAACGATACTCTTAGCAAAAAACTAAAGGACTACTTGAAACCTTCTATCAGCAAAGTTGATCTCTGATGAGAAAAACTTGATAGATAGAAAACAAGTGCATACAATGTCCAACATAAGATAAAAGTACAAGGTTTGTCATGCTTTTGTACATGTTTATTATTTATGTTATCTAAATAATTATGTATCTTTATTATTTTTTATTTTCTCTTTATTAATTATATGACAATTATTTATTTTTTAGTGGAATGACTTTATAAATAATATTTTTGTCCATTTTGCGTGATCGGATTTCTGGTTTTTTTTTTTTCCCTTTGATCTTATATATACAACTTGAAGTCCTAGAGCACGATAGACATTAATGGTAAGGGATATTAAATTATCAATACAACAAATAAACCATGTATATTCTCATGATACAACTAAGACGACTAACGTAAATTATCAAATATATATATATTGGTGAATTTTTAAAGGTGACCGCAGTCATATTGTGTGTGATGAATTGGATCCGGAAAAAGGACAGTAATCAACGCAAGAAGCAAGAGCTTCCTTATCGTTGATGTAGAGCTAAGCAACAAGCCAGTCAAATAAGTTTGAGCAGACAATCCCACCAGCCTCATCCTCCTTTCCTTAACGTACAAGTCCATTGCTTGTCCCACGTTCTTCCTTATTAATTCATGATTTCTTTCAGAAAAAGTCCTAGCATGGATCTTCTGTGCCAAACATCTAGCAAGGACTACTGCGTCTTCCAAGGCCACGGAGCCGCCTTGTGCTAGAAACGGCCCCATCACGTGCATCGCGTCACCGGCCACGGTCACCGTCCCTTTTCTGAACGTCCCCAGAAGTATTTCCCAAGCCGGTCTATACCATAACTCTTTGAGGGACAGTGAAGTTATGTCACAGTTTTTGATCATTTCTATTATTTCCTTTGGGAAACTGTTGGTTTTCTCTAGAGCCATTTTTTTTAGTAGCTCTGGATCGTTGAAAATCTCTGAATCTGTCCGGCCGTTTTTTTTTTTTTTTTTTTTTTTTTTTTTTTAACATTAGTTTAAAATAAAAACAATAAAAAAACAAAATATTTATGCAAATGTCTGATACTAGTCGTGTTCATAATATTTATTAACATTTGTCAAGCATCCCCTGCAATGTAAAAGGACTAAATACTATTATTTTTTTGTTCCTAATATTACTATTAACAAGAGAGAGATTTGCAAATTATAGCAAATTCTATTTGTGAAAAAATTAAACAGAATCCACCAAGGATTTCTAACCCCAACGTCATTGTTCATTGAAAAAAAATTGGTATAATAGGATAGTACTAAAAGTAGATACCTTTGGGGTAACCTGGTAAAAGTAGGACCAAATAAACAAGGTTTTCTGAGATTGGAGCTCTTCCAAACACAACGTCCTTCCCATGAGTTTTGACAAACTCAGGGGCAAACCCATGGGGGCTTGGATAGTAGGTTAGCCCTCTCATAACACGCGCAGGGAAGACCTTTTTTGGTTTAAGTCTTAGAAATTCCGCCACTGCCGAGTTCTCTCCATCACACCCAATCAAAATCTGTGCAGAAACAAACATTCAACTAATTAGATTTGTAATGATATTTTTTATGTGTGGAATGGAAGAATTATGTTATTCATTAACGTTGTAGATGTCACAATTTATTATGTATCAATACTATTCCATCATAAATATTCACAAGACCATATGCGTTTCAGGTATACCAACTCAAATCTCAAACTCTTGTATATCAACTGATATGATATGTGAGTTGTCATTTTTACATTAATAGAGGTTTAAAATATTACCATATCAATTAATGATAAAATATTACATCTACCTATAAAAAAATGACAATTCACATACCACGTCAATTGAAACACAAAAATTAAGATTTGAGTTGGTGTCATTACTCAATTATAAATATAATGATAATAATATTGACAATAATAATAATAATAATAATAATCATCATAATCATAATAATAATCATAATAATAATAATAATAATCATCATCATAATAATCATAATAATAATCATAATCATAATAATCATCATAATAATAATAATAATAAGAACAACAATAAATATCTGATGCAAGTAAGTTTGCGTGTTACCTTGGCCTTGAGTGTACGTCCATTACGAAACTGAAGAATGGGAAAGTTGGTCAAAGGGTCCAATTCCACGAAGAGTATGTGGCATCCAAGCCGAATGGTGCCACGGGGTAAATCTTGAGCAAGGATGTCAATTAGGTCACTCCTTTTTACACCACGGGCTTCTCCTTTCCTACCCAATCAAGCTTAGAAATGTTACAAGAATGATACATACATCTATGTTCTTTTTTTTGTTCCTCAATCCAAACAAATACAGTTTAATAGAATTTAATATATATATATATATACACACACACACACACACATATACATATATGTGTATGTTACTAAAAAAAAAGAAGCTTACTCTAGTGATAAACTCAAATACTTATAATGTAGGTTTAGAGTTTGAACAAATAAAACTATATCTCCTCTTAAAGGCAAATGTATTAGTTAAAAAGTTCACCCAAACTATAATTCTTCTAATATTTTATCTCTCAATTTTCAAACGTAATATTTGTTCCTCTTAAAGTATGATAAATTAACAAAATCTTATGTTAGAATCTCTAATAGATAGGACACGTATCACACACACAATGATTACTATTAAACAATTTGATGCACAATCTTCTTGATGTCCCTCTTAATATATATTTTTCAAAAGAAATTAATTTCTTTTCTGTTAGTATGATATGAAAGAAAATAAATCATAATAAAGAATTCATGAATTTTTCATTTAATCTTCTAATTAATTTGAAATTGATAAAATTTTAAGAAAATTGAAAATTAATGGGTGCGTTTGGAATTGGTTCCAAAACGTTTTTATTTTTGAAAATGAAAATGAAAACGTTTTTATTTTCATTTTGGAATCATTTCTGAAAATGCGTTTGGTAGTTTTATTCCGAGATTATTTTCAGTTTAAAAAAAACTAAAATTGTGTTTGGTGGTTTAATTTTTAAAAATATGTAATAATATTTAAATTAATAATATATTAAATAAATAATAACCCTTAGTTAATAATTATATAAAAAAATACCCTTAGTTAATACAGTCTAAACCCTAATTTATTGTCACTCTCAATCCGCTTCTCTCTCTCATCTCATCTCGTCGCTCTCTCTCTACCCTCCTTGTCTTCGTCCCACATTCTCTGGTTTCCTCTCTCTCTGCCGTGTCGTGACTAAAGAAGGCACGCGATCTGACTGGATATCTGGGTAGATCCGGTGTCGTTCATCTCGCTCGTCTTAGATTGAGGACGCTGTGGAGAGCCAGTGCCATTGGTGCATCTCGCCGAGTTCGAGATCCGTGAGGATCGACGTTCAATCCTTCACCGGCGTCAACCGTGGATTCTACGAGATCTCCCTCCTCTCTTCTCTTTCCGCCCCCTTTCTCTACTGTTGCCATGTTTGGACAAGACGTTGTCGCTACGACGGACGCAATCATCGTCATCGTTCGCTTCGTCACCATGAGATCGCGGCGGATCCAAGATCTCAGATCCTAGCTCATGTGTGTTCTCTCTTGCTCGTCCCTCGCCGCCATGGATGCAGCTCCGCGTCTGGTTCCGGTTCCATGCGGTGAGAGCATCGGATTTGGGTTTGCTAGATTTTTCCTTGGGTCAAACAAAGTCATGCGTGTTCTAGGTCGATCTGTTGTCGATGAGATCAAATCTGGCCTTTACAGTCTCAGAAGTTTGGAAATGAAAACAAGAAAAATGAAAACGGAAAAAATTCATTTTCAGAAAGATGAGAAAAAAAGAGAAAATGAAAACGGGTGTTTTCAGTTTTGATTTTAGAAAATTTTACACCAAACACGTTTTCTTACGCGTTTTTTCTCAAAAATTGTGAAAAATAAAAACGAGACCGGAAACAAACAGGCCCAATAATTTTTTGAATGTACAGTATATTTTTAAAATATTTTTTGACAAACTAAAAACATTTATATCATATTCAAATAATAAAAATTTGAGTCGGTGATCACGAGATACGTAATTCTTTTTTTAACAGGAATCTCTATGTTTTTTGGTATCTGATCTAAATCTTTTTTTTTTTTTAGAAAATCATCTTTTGTCTTTTTCTTAAATAAATGGTGGATGTGAAAAAAAAAAGTGGTTAAGAATTAGTAATCTTATGAAACAATTAAAGATAATTTTAAAATAATACGGATGTGTAAAAAGTAAATTCAATCATTTAAAAATTATTTAGGGATCTTTGCAGTGGGTGAATTGCATAGTGGAATACACCCGTGGTGAGCGCAGATAGGCATGAGGATGAGAGAGAAAATCTCTCCTTATTACTTTGAGGGTTTAAATTAAGGATCCGTTTAGTTCGTTGATTTAAATTTTTAATTCGAGTTGAGATGTGACTTTATGTGAGAGTTTTTTATTATAGTAAAAAAGTTAGATGTGATTATTTGTGAGAGCTTTTTACTGTAGAAAAACTCGAATTAGAGAAATGAACAGAGCTTAAGTGGTTTGAATTAAAATTTAATTTTGTGAGAAAAATACTGTAATAAAATTTTTTTAAATTTTTTTTTAATAAAAGATAATTCTGTTTGAATTAAAAATTAGTGTGGTTTGAACTCTCAAACTTAAACATGCGCCAAGTATACTGAGAGTGAAAAATTAATTTTTGTAAAGCATATAGTGGCTGGAAGGAGAATACTAATTGATTAAAGAATTACTTAAACAGTTCGTAGAAAAAGGAGAATATTAGAAGACTAGTTACTTAAAGAGCGATTCTCTTTCAAAGCTCTATTAGAAGTGTTGTCACATTCTTCAAGAGGTATTAAATTATTTAGATTTAATGTATTGTTCATAGAGAGTGACTTAGCATCTCGTGCTTATATTAAAAATTATAAAATTTCACTTTGTTACTCGACCGATTAATTTTTACAACATACAGCAGCTCTTGTTGCCTCTTTTTATTATACTCATTTTAGGAATGTTCTCGGCACGTTTGCCATGTTGATAATACTTAAAAGAGAGTATTAGAAATTCATTTATATAACTATTTAAATCTATTTTTTTATAAAATTTTAGTTGAAACGATATTTGCTTTTAATTTTAAACACTAAGTAGTGGAAAAGATTTTATATAATTGTAAATTAAACGAACACGATTTAGTATAAAAAAATAGTGTAAAGATAACTTTTAATGCGATAAAAATTAGACAAAAAATAATTAAGTAGAGATACATTTAAAAAAATATAATAAGAAAACATGCGAAGCAAAGTACTTTTATAAAAGTAATGTGATGGAAAATATAATTTAAAAAATCACAAGTAAAAAATAAAAATGTAAAAAAAAACATTAACAAATTTTAAAAAACGAAAAAAAAAAACAAAACAAAACATTTAAAACTAAAAAAATAAAGATACAAAAAGTAAAGAAAGAAAAAAAAGGAAAGAGGAGGGGCTGCCATGTGGCTCCATAAAAAAGAGCATTAATTCTTTTTAAGTATATATACTAATTGAGCTACGTACTACGCACGTAAAAAATAATTCTATGATTCGATTCTGCATCAAAATCCGTAGCCTTCTTAGAAACTAATTCCATTAGTTAGAATAAGAGAAAAAAATATTTTAAAAAATCACATCGAAAAAAATTAAAGTTATATTAGAATTTTGACAATAAAAAAAATTAAGTAGGGAGATGTTTGAAAAGAATTATTTTTAATCAAAAGAAAATAAGAAAAAGAAAATATTTCAAAAACGATATTGTACAAAAAATAAACTATGAAAGTTATAGAAAAAAAAAAGAGAATAGGCAAAATAAAAGAAGAAAGAAATTTTAAAAAAGGAAGTGATAAAAACAAACTATATAGAAGTCTTTAAGCTAAAGAAAAAAAATAAGAAACCAAAAGTAAAAAGAATCAGAAAAAAAAAAAAAAACAAAAACAAAAAAAATAAAGGAATAAATGAGAATTTGACACGTGGTTAAAGAAAAAGCAATCAATTTGTAAGTTTATAATATTATTGGAGATTTTTAAGATAAGACTTAAAAAATAAAATATTAGTAGATCTCTTATTTTAGCTGTTAATTTTGTATTATAAACCATTTAACCGTTAGTTCTATATTAAGAACTATTATTTTGCATATATATTTTTTTATTAAAATGTGATTTTAATAGGATGTAATAATAAAAAACAGATATATCAGTCGGAGAAGCCACCGTATAAGAACCCCTATATCTCTCTTTCTTTGACTTACGAGGTCGGTCTTACTTCTTGTTTGTTGCTTTCTAGCCATATGTCTCGTGTTCTGTTTTCGAAGATTAAAGATAAATGTAAGCAACTAAAAGGGTCATTAATAATTGAAAAAGAATAAGCAGTATTTAGGTTATAGTTTGCAGAATAATAAGATTTAATGGTCAAAATTATAGAGACAATACCCTTGTTGAAGAACTGCAGTTTGTCTAAGCCTCGATCCGACACCAAGTTGATCAAGTGCGCGCCAACCATTTGTCAAAATGCCAATGGCCGCGCCGGAAGCTCGGAGCCTCTCTGATCTTTCCAAAACTACGCTTTTTATGCCCTTCCTATGTACACATATTTTACATGTAGTAAAAGGAAAAAAAATAATAATAATAACAGCAACGTGATCAAGACTTCTTCAGGTTCACCAGAAAGAAATAAAGATTATAAGTACGTTGTTTATAGTAACAAAATTTTCACTTGACGAACGTTTCATCCTCTTTCCATCACTAAAAACGCGTAACCTTGATCGATTAATTTGTTTTCGCAATTTCGCCGAGGAAAAAGAGAAGTACCTGTGAAGTGCGAGGGCCGTGGCGAGGCCGCAAATGCCGGCACCAACTATCACTATATCTAGCTCTTCGGCAGCATCCATATCTTCATGCAATCCAAAGACTTTTTCTTCTCTTTGATTTGTAGGTTTTGGCTCGACACTGATTTGGTAGATTAAGGTAATTCAAAACTTCTTCGTCTCTACAGTCTAGACAATATGGCATTATATATGCGTGGAAGACAAGCTAGATTGATAAGATAGGAGAACATATTAATTAATATAATGCAATTACGTGGGCTCCGTTCATTTTGCTGATTCGAGTTTAGAATTCGAGTTTTGTTACAGTAAAAAGCTCTTACATAAAATCACATATCAACTCAAATTAAAAACTCGAATCAGCGAACTAAACAGCCCCACGGGTTGTTTTATTTTGAAGTTGTTTCCTACTTGGTCTATCTTATATTTTAATACCCGGTCAACCGTCAGCTTTTCGCATGGCGAGTTTAAGAATTAATTCCGAGAATATTTATACGAACTTTACACCACATTCAATTTGATTTCTGATACAACGACAATCCAAAAGTATTTTGAGGTGGAAATTAATCTAATCCTTGCATTACTCCACACGTCCATTACCCTCACTTTTTGACCTCATGAGGTTGCAATGACCTTTTATCTCATTAATGTGATGCCGAAAGTCAATCTCTCAATGTCTTCCTCATTGAAAAACTTATTGCTCATTCTCCAAATATTTTCGAATTAAAAGAGTTTTTTAGTGCTTATGTTATCCATGACGCCGTTACTACTCACCTACCAAACTTGAGTCTAATCTCTCACTCAAAGCCCTATGATCAATATCATGATCCAAGCAATAATAAATAAATAAATAAATAAATAAATAAATAAAATTTATATTTTTACTGATATGACATTTTTTAAACTGTCTTTCCCTTTAGCCAAAATAAAAAAAAAAAAAAAAAAAAACCTTCATCTTCCATGCCCGAAAATCCATAGTTCTGTTTGTTTCTTAAAGATATCAGAGATGCTATCTCCGTAACTAGTAGCAATATTGTTTGTTACATTCCCCGTTGAGAAAATTCTTTAGCCCACAGCTTAGCAAATTTCGCCTGTTCTCTGTCGTTAGACCCTTTTTTTTTTTTAGCCCATGTACCTTCTTTCATTGGTTCTCTTTTATATATATATATATGATGCATCTTCTTTCGTTGGTTCTTATGTACGAGCACATAATATTGCTTTGATGCTTGGAAAAAAGTCAAGTTTTCACTTAAAAAAAAAAGAAAAGAAATCAATGCACACAGTTTATCCCAAAAAATATCACAAAATCAACATCAAATACAATTTCACAAGATGCAGCAATTTCTCACGAACACGTCCCTAGATCAACGCGGTATGACTCAATGCGTGGTGATTTCCTCATCTATATATTCCACATTTAGAAAAAGTCTCCGTAAGCGCTCTCCCTTGATTCACGTCAGCATCTCTCCATCCATATTGATTTTTACCTTTCAAATATCAAATCTGTGTCGAAAAAGTCTCCGAAAGCAATACCTTTTCTAACTTCACCACTAAAGATTTTAGTGGTGAAGTTAAGAAAAGGTATTGCTTTCGCTACACAAACGTCACCCTCTAGTTGACTTGCAAAGTCATGTTAGGAGTCTATTGAGTCTCACATTATTAAAATATAAACTTAAAATATGAGTTTATAATTATTTAGGTATTCTTTCTTTATAAATTAATTTTTAAGGATGAGTTCTACCTAAAGTTATAACAATTAGTATAAGAGCATGTCCCACCTTTATATTAAGATTCTGGTCGAGTTTCACATTGTTAAAGTATGAACTAACATGTGAGTTTATAACCACTTGGGCACATTTTTCTTACAAGCTAACTTTTGAGGATGAATTCTTGGGAGGGTTATAACAAGTATCCAATCTTTCACATCAAATTGTTTGATTCTCTTCCAATAGAGCTGCAAGTTTAGACCGGGATGACCTGACCCTCTATTCTTTAGGGCCGGACCGGCCCAACTTAAACATCACACTTTTAAAGATTTTTTAAAAAAAATACCTTATAAAATTTCAGACTAGATTAGGCCGATCCTAAACTTTTTAAGTTTAGAGTCAAACTGAATCGACCCTTTTTTTTTTAGGGCCGGACTAACCCGACTTAAAATTTTTTTTTCACCCACTGAGCCCAGACCGAATGACTCAAACTTACACCTCTACCTTCCAACCTTTCTCTCAAAATATAAAATTTCATTTTTTTTTTGGCTCACTCTTGAAGTGGACCCCCCTCCATCCCTCTCTCTGTCTCTCTTTTCTTTTCCTTCCACCTTTTTTTTTTTTTCCTTTTTTTGAAGCAACCCTCTTTTCTTTTTAAGGTGACGTTAACTGGTTTTTAGTTTATAAATCACGCGAAAGGTCTTTTATTTTTTCCTAATCATATATAAAAGATATTGATACAAGCAATAATCTACCTGGGACATCACTAATAAATACTGTGTATAAAGTATATATATAATAATCTGTGGTATAAAACTATGAAAAATGAAAAAGTGAACAATTAAACTGCTGATCATAAAATAAAGTTGTCTCTCACGGCTGATTATTATTATTATTATTATTTGGGTTAGTTACGTCAGTATACTAGTTTTAGTCTTTTTGCAATTTATTCCAATCATTTTGAGAAAAAGGAAAGATCGCTTAAATTTGAAAAACTTATTTTAATTTCATACCCCACACACTATGTAGTAGACCAAAATCAATATAAGAAGAAAAGGACAAATATCCATTTACAAAAACCAAATTTATTTATGAAAGTATCTTTTTGTTGAAGAAACATTTGAAATTCATAAGATCATGATTTTTTTAAAATTATGTTTTGTTTTAGCATTTCTAGAATCAAATATTTTTCATAACCATTTAGTTTTTTTTTTTCTTTTTAATTACTTTTTTTCACACGATAAAAAGTGTGGGGAATAAATTTTAAAAGAAAATAAAATAAAACTAGAAGGCGCAATCAGGTAATTTAGGTTATTAACCCCTTCTGCTTTGCTAGAATATGCCACGTTATAATCAAGGGTGGAGCTGCTTTAGGCTCAGAGTGGGCAGCTGCCCTCCTAGGCCTAAGGGCTCCTCTTAGAATTTGGCCCCGTCTTAAAATTTTTGACATTTTTCTTTTGTTTTCCCCTTTAAATTTTCTAATTATCACCATTGCACATGTTTTTTTAAAAGAAATTTTAATTATACTTTTCATTTTGACTCTTAAATATAGTATTATCCAAACTTAATATCTCAAATAAATAAAAAATCATCTATACTACTACATAAATTCATAAGAATCTAAGCTTTAAACATTAAATTTAACTACATTACAATTTAGTCTAAACAAAATTACAAATAGGTAAAATAAGGTAAAAAAATTATTTCCTTATAAGTTCAGTTAAACATTTTGGTTTAGTTCACGCATTCCCAAGTTCAGCCTCTAGGCTACAACGAGCGTAAGAAACACCTACCTAAAACTTCTACATTGTATCACTATCACTCATTAGTAGGGCTAGCAATCCGGATAGTGACACCATAAGACGACTCAAAACCTGCTTGAAGTTAGCGAGTTTGAGTTTACTATAAATGAGTTTGAATTTTTATCGGGTTGACACGATTAATACGATTAATAAATGGGTTGGGCAAGGGTCTCTTAACATGAATTGACATGAATTGACACGATTAACTATATGTGTCATCTGCAATATAAAAATATGTGATATAACATGAAAGTTTCTATGACATATTAAATATAAATAATGTGAATTTTGATATTTGTAGCTAAAATTCATTTATTTTTCTTAAAGGAAAAGATAAATTGAATAATAAAAACGTTAAACATGTCTTGACCGTATTAAATAAGTCATTATTATATTAGTTATTTATTCAATATATTAATTTAAACGGGTTATACGGGTTGACACGATTAATACGATTAATAAATAGGTCGTGTTTGGGTTGATGTTTTCTGACATGATTAATAAACGAGTTGACACAAATACGACACACTAACACGAATTGCCACCCTTACTCATTAGGACCATACTAAAGCCTGCTTTACCATCCACAAAAGAAGCATCAAAGAAGAGAATAGAGCACTCGCCGCGGTTAGGAGGCGTTAGCGTTTATGCCATTAGGAATAAATATAACAATGTTTTTTAGATATTTGGACTATTAATACAAATTTATTTGTTTCATATATCTATATAATGTCATCATTACGTTCATATTAATTGAATGTATGATAAGCAGATTAAAAGTCTGTGACTGTCATTCTAAGTCAAAAGAGTATTAATCAAGAATAAATAATAAAAATTTAGACCCGTACATTTTAAAGATAAGTTCAACAATTTTTTTTAAAAGATAAGTTGACTAATTTTCTCAATTATAAAAGTTTAGAGGGGAAAAAGGCCCGAAATCCTGTAATTTAATCTACACCAACCTAATTGGTTAGCAAAAAAAGAATATTAGAAGGAAATAGTTCATTAACGTAAATATATACATATACATATATACATATACATATATATATATATATATATATATACGTTTTTCCGGGCCAATCATATTACCGTAAATTGGGGATATGTTACACAATTCCAGTTTGTATAAAGTTATCAACAACACAATTACAAAGCAACCTCCAAATAAATGAGAGTCTATAGAGAAACTGTGGCCACCTATATAGACACATACACGTATACACAAATGAGAGTGTTATAAATATTATTTCTTTTGGGGGATACTTTATAACCACTTTGTGTTGAGTAGAAAGGGATCGAACATACTAAATCACCATCCGATGCTGAAACTACTTGTTTTGGGAAGCTTATCACAATTTGCAGAAGCCCATCCAATCATCTGCTTCTCGTTATCATAGATCACCATCTTATCTTGCATTGATATGTCTATGGAAATGACGAGAGAGCAAACTTTTAGAGCGGAAGATCAATTGGGTGCTGAAATATTGTATCTATCTCAACTTCAAGGCCAGTCTAAATCACATATACATAGAAAACTTACCTCCAATTATGTTAGAATTTTGAAGCCCGATTTCAGAGCCATTTAGAATTCCCAAGCAAACATTCCCCTTAGACTGAAAGAATCACATTTGTTAGTGTTGTATAACACTAGAGTGATATTTATAGAATAAACATGGAACTTAGAAGACGTAACATCGTTTGTGAGACTTACTGATACTATTAGATAAGCTTCAGGGGGTAATTCATAAGTTTTAGTTTTGCCACCAGTTGTGAAGTCCAGTGCTAAGGGCTTGAAGTATTTTCTGACATCGCTTACCCTTTTAAATGGCCTTTTACCTTTCCAACATAGTGGTAGGGTTTGGTCATCTGTGGCTTCTCTTAAAACCTTTCTAGGTAATTCTCTTTTGATCTGCAATATCATCAATGGAAGAAATAAAACTCATTCAAGTTAGAAAGGTGATCACACTATTAGATTAATAATGGAAAATCATAAGAACTTGTCAACTCCAGGACTTGGAAATAAGTTCTCTCTCCAAGAAAATGGAAGAATTTTACCAATAGAAGCTACCTTTATTATTATTATTATTATTATTATTATTATTAATAAAGTAATAGAAGCTACCTTAGGAGACTGAAAATGGAATTGTTCTTTCTTAATGTGCTTATTGAAGCTAAAAATTTTGAGACATACTTTCCCCCCCCAGGATTCTGCAAATGGTGAATGTGCTTTTTACTCACCAAAAATGTCAAAGTTTGGTAAGCTTGAGAAGTTAGATAAGTGTAAGAGCTCCCGCTGTCAAAGACCGTAAGTAGGTTTTTCAAACCAGTTGGCTTTCCATCAAATCTGAGTTCCGCAGATCCTGGTGAGTAATGTTTTCTGGTATAATGAACAGGAACAACATTGTTATAGGAATTGTCAAGTAAGAAATTTGAACTAAAACAGAGATACCATGCCTTGAATAACAGTGTTCGGGAAGGATTAATTACAAGTAATCACTGGACATTGGTGTCCAATCCACTCGTGAGGAATCATAAACGTTATCCCCAAAGAAGAGAAATCCTCCACCCCGCCCGCTTAAACAGTGGCCAACAACGTTTCGCATCAAACCTTGGCTATGAAGTTGTGACACAATGCTGGTTTTTCCCCTCCCGAGGCCAAGTACTCCGTCTAAGGGGAGCGGGTGAGATGAACCGGGAACTTGATCGTATCCACATCTGAAGAAAAGTGAATCATATGAACTTAGGATCCAAAAGCAAGCACTGAAACAAACTTCAATGACACAGGGCTTGTTTGCTTTTTGAAAGAACATTCTCTACATGAAGTGAACTATTCACAAATGAGGTTAAACATGAACCACTTCAAATTAGCATCGTCAAAAACTGAATAGCAAAAACATCAATAACTTTTCACTGTATTCTCTCAAGATATTATTTTATCTGTTTCTGGACCATTCTCTATAAAAAAAAGCTTGGTGTTTTTCGTAATAATGATGTGCAACCACTGAGCTTCGATTGAAAGGAATGATACGGGATACTTCTGCGATTACCAATTATTCCAAAAGCTTAAACTGATAGGACGGGACCAAACCCAATAACTATTTTCCAGTAAGAAACACAGAGATATCAAGGAGAAACATAACACACCCGAGGGCAAGACGAGGTTTAAGTTGGTCTCCTTTTGTGGAGTTGAAGTAGAAGGCATCCTTAACAAGTACACCGAGTGAGGAACCACCATCTGCATACTCAACCTCATAGTCACATTGCTCCGGGTTATCACATTTGGGAGTACCAGGTAAGTGTAAGGCTATGCAGAGGGGATCTCTACATCCAACCAAGTCATTGCTCGGTCGGTAAAGTGGATGAGGCGTCTGTGAAAAAAAAAAAAAAAAAAAAAAAAAAAAAAAAAAATAAAATAGAACATAATATGAAATCCGGGACAAGATGATCTCGAAAAGAAGATGAGAAATCCTTGCAAGAGTAAATTGGTAGAGGGTGTTGATGAAACAAAGTTTGTTGGAATCATAGTGAGACCAGAAAAGACTTGTGTAATTCATTCACTAATTGCAATTGATTACTGCATAAAGAACTCTCTCTCCATGTGTAAATAAGAAAAGGAAATTAAAAAAAAAAAAAAAAGACTTGTTATTGTGATTTACCTCAGTACACTGGACACAGGGAGCGTCACATTGGAGCCATGTAAGATCACTGCCAGTGTCAGGATCAAGGAAGTACGGCTTTGGTGGCTGACCAATATTGAGGGTAACATTATAAAAGCTGGGATATAGAGTTTATTGTCAGTTTCCAAGTTGTGAATTGTACATGAAATATATCAAAGTAATGAAATATCTGGAGGAGGGAATCTTAAACCATGACATGATCCAACACAAGAAAGGTGAAAATTGAAATGAAAAGGAAAAGAAACCATTATTCATTTCCCTTCGTTTTCTAAAAATAATTGACCACATCTTTGAAAAATCTGCATCAAGATACCCAATTGCTGATTTTACTTTTGAAACATTTGTGACAGAGGAGAATGGCATCCTGGAATGCAGATCCTCTATTCAATGAGACCGTGATAATTACCTTGAATTTATAAAAGTTGTATGAATTTTTTAAAGGCGTTCATATAAAATAGATGTCATGTTAGGCACCATACATTACACTACATGACAAGTCTGCGTGAATGACTAAATACGAACCCTTTGTATCAAAATTATCAAGTTCAGTTGACAGTTTCCTAAAATTCTGAGTAACTAATTAAGGATAATATGCAAAACTTGATTCAAGACAGAAAATACTATAGATTAAATATAAATGCCCTTCTATTTAATAATGAGGCAATGTCCAGAAAACACTACACAATAATAATATTTAAAAAAAAGAAAAAAGAAAAAAAGAAGCCTGTTTCCCATTTGCCATTCTATTTACTTTTTCAAGACGACAAAAAGTTAACAGAGCTACGCCAATTTCCAAGAAAACGGAAAACAGAAGAAGAACCTATTAACTTTGTCAGCTTAAGCTTAAGATTTTGGCCCTTTTTTTTTTTTTTTTTGGTCGACCGGAAAAAACGTACCCAATAGGATATACATTCCCGTGGATGGGGAAAACGACAGAAGACCCTACTCGATTCAGCTCAAACGACGACGTCCCTGGAACTGGATGCGTCGATTTTCTTCTATGCCGATTCTCCAAAAATGCAGCCGATGAGATTGTCGTACACAAACCCATGAACAATACCAACGCCCATAACCACAAACCCACCTTAACTCTCTTCATCTTTTTGTACTAACACGCACTCTTATCTCAGTCCAACTATGGATAAGAGAACCAATCAAAGGAATTTGGTCAATATTTGCTTGTTTTGTCGTTTCTTTGAGTTAGCCCACCAACTGTTCGATAAAATGACTGAATGAAAGACGAGTCAAATAGTCCATCGTTTTTGGCGGTTATAAAATGGGTATAGCGTGGAATTTCCGAAAGGGTATTTTTTTTTTCCTTGCCGATCAAGGATTCATGGGCATCGCTTGTTTTGTTTGTCTTAATTTCTGCTAATTACCTTTCTTTACTCAAGTGGGTTTATCAAAGAATTTTTCTTCTAATGTTAGAGAGAGAGGCATTCTTTTATTCCCTTCCTTTCTTGAGGATGGAGATTTGCGTACTATTACAAGGAAATTAAGAAAGCAAAATTGAAAAAAAAAAAAAAAAAAAAGAGCAGACTTTGCTAGCAATTGTTGTCTACAAAATGATAGTGATGGCAACTTCCTGGAACTTTCATTGCGAATAGAAAATGCAAATGTACGGATCCGAAAGGCCACCTGAAAGAAATTTTACTCTTTTTTTTTTTTTTTTTTTTTTTTTTTTTTTTTTTTTTAAGTTGAAATTTGAAAAGAACCCACGTTGGAAAGAACAATGTTACTTGTCCCCAAGGGACTATACAACATTTTTTTCGTTAGAAAACAACCTTAAAAGTTAAAACCCACAGCAAAAGAAAAGGACAAAAGATCACTGTTAAAGAGAGATCACGGAGTAAGGTGGAAGAAATCAGAGAGGCAATATTATAATCGGTATAGCTTCATCGCCGAGTACTTGCTTTTCTTTTCAAAGGAGGACTTTTGAAGAAGCGGGGGAAAAAAAAAAAAAAAATTCAACACAACCCATAAAAAGGTGTCCTTTCTATTGTTAAATTTTCATCAACCTATGGATTCAAACAATCTACACTTTTTAAGCTTTAAAAAACTATTTTATCTTTTAAAAAATTTATTAACAAATAATTTAAATAGATAATTTTATAATTTTATAAATAATTATTATCCATCATTTTAACTTTTTCTCTATTTTACCGAATAACATAAAAGATTACTATAATCACTTCTATTCTTCCAACTCTCTATTCCCCCAACTAAATGGAGCTTTAAAGTTTTTTATTTTCTTTAATTGCAAAAGTTTCTCTTAAATTATAACCCTTATAACACTTTATCTTTCAATTTTTAAAGTGTAATATATGTTTCCTCATAGTATGAAATGTTAACCAAAAAAATTCCCTCAATTAGAATTTCTAATAGAAACGATAGTTGTCACACATATATTGATTGTTTTGAAATAATTTACTGTATTACTATTCTACCTATCACTTTTAAATTTACATGTTTATAAACATGTTTTAATTTTCATTTAATATGACTATAAACAAAGCAAAACAATAAAACAAAATTTTTATCTAACTCTTCTTGTTAATTAATTAATTGAAACTCTTTTAGAAAAAAAAAGTAATAAAAAATTTTATCTTGCTCTTCTTGTTAATTAATTAATTGAAACTCTTTTAGGAAAAAAAGTAATTAAAACTAACAATTTTTAAATTCACAATATATATTTTTAAGTTAACTAATAGTATATTTTGAATAACATTTTTCAAAACACCAACATTCTAAAAAGAAAATCTACATATATAGTATATACTACATGTAAAGTAAAATTAAAAAATATTTTTTTGAGATTTAATATATTTTTAAGATTATTCTTAAGAATAGATAGAATTATCAAAACACCCTTGAATCATATACCATACATATAATGTGATTATTAGGACTCCTTAAATTTATGTTAGTTCATAGAGCCTTCAAAGTCAATCAAAACAATGATCATATATATAACAATCTTAAAATTTTGATTTATTGATAGACTCATGATTATGATGTCATTTTTATTTTAGTTTATTTGTAAATATTGGCATGTAATTGAATCTGTATTCCTTATACGTTGAAAACATAATGAAGTAGAAAGTTATGAATGTTAATTTATAAGATAAAAACCATTCCTTTATAATGTAATCAAATAAATAGTTATAATAAGAGCGCTGAATTTATGATAAGATCATGAATATTGTTGATACCCGATTTTGTGCTAGCCCAGTCAAGGGTCCATGCCTTATAACCTCTTCCTCTTCGTCAAGGTTGCTTCTCAGTGTTTTGACTCCAACAGAGGCTCTACTAGCGCCAGACATGCCAAATAGAGGCTCCCTCTGTGGTAGGCATATCTCTCGGAGCATCCTCTTCATATCCAAGTATGCCTAACGGAGCTTTTTTCCGTATCAGGTATCATTCCTTTGGACTTCTTCTTGCTTAGCTTATCATCGGAGCAACCTTCGCTTGGAGCATGCTCACCCTTCGGAGTAGCTTCACGAGAAGCAGCCTTCGTCTGGAGCACGCTCACCATCAGAGTAGCTTCATTTAAAGTAACATTCATGTCAGAGCTAACTTGACGGTTGCTTAGCCAACATTGTGTAAACTATCTCTGACAAGGTCTGACATGCGATCAGACCTCCGAAAGAGGAAGTCAATAGAGTATGAAGTTGAGTCAACCACTCTTAAGAATTTCAGACCTTGGAACTCTTGATGTCAGCTTCATATCCGGAACTTTGCCTCCAAGTTTTTCCATTTTTGGATCTTTCCTTTGTCCATCCGGAAGGTCAGACCATTTTGCTCCAAAATGAATTCCATGTGCAGGTCTCTGTTAGAGCGCCACCGATTGGCCTTTAGAACAACCACCATGAACCTTTCTTTTCATTTCTGAACCAGCTCTTCTTCAACCCCGGAAATGCTTCTAATGACTTTGCTCCATTTGGATCTTATATGCATGCTTCTTTCAGAGCGACGCCGAATCACCCCCGGAGCAAGTTCCCAAAAGTCTTCATTCTATTTTTGGCTAATCTCCTCTTTAACTCTGAAAAGGTGTGAGAAGACTTTACTTTATCAAGATTGCTTGTGCAGGCGTCCGTCAGAGCACGCCGTACGAACCTCCAGAGCTGCCGCTAAAATCCTACCAACTTCACCTATAAATACCCTCATCTTCCTCATTCCATATGACCTGAAGACTCGAGAACTTTGAGCCTCCCCTTGACCCCTATCATCTTCCAAAAGCTCTCCTATTTTTCTCATATCACTATCTTCAAATCACTTTCTCCTGACTTCTTTAGTCTCTTGCTACAGAGACTTGAAGTTCTTCAAAGCTTCCAAGTGTTGACAGCCTTAGAAACTCTTCCAAAACAATTTTTGATCCATTTCCACTACCATCACAAAGCTTTTCAAAGTTTTTCACACATTTTCTGACAACATTCAAGTCTTCATTTTTCTCACTCCCAGAGCAACATGCGCTGCTCTTGGAGTTCTTTTCACTAGAGCCTTATCCACTTCACAAACTTCACTCTCACTCTCCAACAAGCCTTATCCACCACTTGAGTCACCATCTTCGCTTCTGGAGCAACCCGTGCTTGTCTCTAGAGCACTGTTCTATCAAGGCACCTTCGACCTACTTTTCTCCATCTCCATCAACTACTTGTTCGCACTTCCCACCATTCTTCATCTCTGGAGTTCTTTCATTTGTGTTTGCAGATTCTCTAACATATTTTAGGACATTTTCGTTATTTCAGCAACAAAGAGGGTCCTAGGACATGCGTCCTTCGACCTAATTTGGGCCTAGCCAATCCCACTTCTTCGTCGGAAGTCCTACCATCATCATCTACTTCGAAGCTCAGTCACGTTGGATTCGCTTCCCACAAACTGTGTGCTTACGTGTGTCAACCCCCGACACATCGACCTTCCAAATCTATCAAATCCCGACAAATACATTGTTCATTAGAGAATCAATGGTATTTAAGGATAAAAACAGAATTATAAACCTCGTTTTAATTACGAATATTTATGCATGATTGATCTATATGTAATTGCTATATCAATAGATGATTCAAATTCTTTAAGTAATAAATATCTATGGTTTTAAAAGTTCAATTCTAGGTTTTTAGTGGAATAACATTGAATTTTGTTTTGAATGACTTTGGACTTGCTGAAATTGATATATTAATGAAAGGTTTAATTATTGTTAAATTTATTGGAGTTTGGAATCATAGGTCCATAGTTCTTAAGTCATCTCTGAAATACTATTTGTAACCTTAGAATTAATACTATTTGTAACCTTAGAATTAATAGGCCATATTGAATTATTTAGAATTGGTAAACTCTAAATTATTACACTCACTCTAAATTTATGTGAATAATTTTAGAGGATCCAGTTAATTAATTTTAAAGTAAATATATTATTTAAATAATTAGATTATTTAAATAAATTAAAACTAGATGACACAATATGGTGGGGCCATACTATCTGTGCTTCCACAGGGAGGAGCACTGGTGGTGTCTAGTTTTTTATTTGTAGCTTCCTAAATTTGAATTTAGGCATTTCTCTATGAAAATTTGGATTTCTTTTCCCAAAACAAATATTTAAAAAAGACAAATGGAAGTGAAACTATAAGGACAATGCAAACTATAATGGGCAAACAAATGAAAAAAAAGGAAAGAAAAAGAAAAGGAAAGCAAGGAGGTCAATGGCCTCGTCCTATAAAACTAAATTTTAATGTGCTCTACATGTATTATGATGTTAAAGACACTTAAAAGATTTATTATTTATCAAATAATAAGAAATTAATTTATAAAATTATTTAATTTTTTTAAAATTTATTTAAAAAACAGAATATATGTGTAAAGATAACATTTGATATGATAAAAATTAGGTACAAAATAATTAAGTAAGGACACATTTAAAGAAAATCATTTTAACTATTGACAAAAAAAAAAAAAAAGAACACAAACAAAAATTACTTTTATGGGAGTAAAGTGAGAAAAAATGTATTTTTAAAAAACACACAAAAAATTAAAATGTAAAAATATTCAAAAAATAAAAAACAATTTAAAAATAAGAAATAGAGACAATAAACAAAAGAAAATAAAAAATAGACATAGATACACTAGTACAAAAGAGAATATAGACGTCGGGTTTTAGAGGTCGCCTCTTGTCAAGTGATGTCTATTGTGTATAGATGTCTAAAGCGCAAGTGGCCTCAATTCTTATCCTTGTATGATTGGCAAATCGCGGAAGCAGTGGCATTTATCCTTTTATGGTTGGCAAGGTATTTTTTCTCTGATATCTTGATCTTTGTTACACGGTTTATCATGTTATATACTTGCAGATTTGTCAATGGCAGGTACTAAGAGATACCTAATGGATAGAAAAGCAGATTTGTCAACACCCGAGGTATCGAAAGAAGCAAGCGACAAATATGATGCAGATCTGGAACTTTTGGAACGATTTTCTTAGTGACGGTTCTGTT